TCGTGCGAAAACGAGCGACGCGGGACAGTTCGTTTAATTTCGAGTGTCGATGCAAGTATCCGCATCTCATGGCGATCACGACCGGACCGATGTCGTGCTCGCGCGACGTTGGTTGTAACGGTCGCGGACGTTTGGACGCGGCGTCTCGCTCATCCGCGATCGATCCGTTCGTGAACGGCCGATGCGAATGCGACGACGGTTGGATCTCCGAGTACAACGACGTGGTCGGTCCGTTCTGTCGCGAGGCAACGATTGGCGAGTGGCCGAGCATGTTGCCCGGCCAGGATATCGACAACGACGCGATGCTGGATCTCTCGTCCGAATTCATCGACGAGAACTTTCGCGCGATCATCGCGCGTGAACGAGTCGACGGCGAGGACACCCGAGTGAAGTTGGTCAATCCGTGCACTCCGTGCCCCATCATGGCCACGGACGACGGCGAGGCATACTTTTGCAGCGATGACTTCACGATTGGAAAGCGCAACAACGCCGATCTGTTCATTGCGATAGCGAACATCGGGATTCGTCGCGATTGCGATTATCTGCGCGGAAACGGCGGTAGATTTTCCAACACGTGTCTCAAGATCACGGCGTCCGAGGGCCTGGAGCCCGATCGATTCCTGCTGCAGTTCATGACGCGGGACGACGCGAGTGCGAAGAATTCGCCATGGAGACAGGTGTCCTGGTGAACGAATCCAGCGTTCGACGATGGTTCGGCGGACCGGACGACGATTTCGACGCGTCTCCGAATTATCGGAGATTCGCGCGCACCGGAGGGCGACGCGTTGAAAGACTGCGGCACGGTGTGGACGTCCAACCGTCCGTCGATCTTGAATCATCGACAACGAGTCTGCGAGTCGCTTCGACTCTTCTGGGGCAGCGCCCATACCGACCTGGCGTTCGCTTCGGATCGTTTGAACTTTCCGTTCCCCTTTTACAGCGACAGACTGATCGTTAATTATTATCTCTATTAACCCCGAGACATGTTGGTGAACGACGCCGAACGCGTGATTCGTGGGCATCTCAGACAAGAGGTTTACGAGTGACCGGATCGGCGCGGACTCGACAATTTGTGTTACCTTCACGGAAAATACGTGTACACCGATCATGAAACGGCGCACAATATGGCGCGATTAATATTGCCCGTATGTCTCGTGCGACACACGGACAGCGACGACGGTTCCGAGTACATGCGACCAACGATCAATTGCGCGCATCCGAACGACACCGCTTGCGTCATGATGCGCAACGATCATCTGACGATCGCTCTCGTCTTCTGTGGTACCCATCGGACATGCGAATGTTGCAATTCTACGCCGAGCGAGGCAATTGCGGCGAAAACGATTGCGACTACGACAAGAACGCGGTGTACGAATAGAGCGAGCGACGAGCAAGAAGGAAAGCGGACGGGATGTTGCGGAAGGGGGAGCGAATAAGAAATACACGAAATATGGAAAAACGAATTCTCTTTTATTGATCGGTGGGCGTGTCAATGCGCGCGTGAACGTTCTCGTCGCTTCGACGAATCGCGAGGAAAAGATCGGACCACGACGGCACGAAATTGCATTGACAATCGCCGCATGGTGCGTATGTCAAGAGCCAAATATCTCGAAACTGATCGTCGTAACGAGATTGCACTCTCTCGATCGTCTTCACATTGAAGCTGAACGGTAATCGCACGAACGTGCAATACGGACAGTGCTCCGCGTGCAACGCGTTCAGTTCGAACCTCGACGCCACGCGATTCATCGACACTGTGAATAGACACGCGTGACAGCGCCCCATCAATTTTTCGGAACCGTCTCGGTAGTTCGGTCGATGTCGATCCTCGTCGGCCCCATCTTCGTTGAGTCGTTGCACGATCACGTCCTCGAGCGTCACGGTTTCGGCTTCGGACAGCGTCTCCTCGTCGGACGATGTGCGAAACGTCGATACGCACGACGGTGTCGCGACCACGGCGAAACCGTCGTCGACCAACGATCCGACCGTGCTGCGCGACGCCAACCAATGACCGTTGTCAGGGTCGATGAAGCTGCTCCGTTGCTCGGGATCGCAGTACGGGAAAGCAGCTTCGCCAAAAGTTGACCACGTCACGTCGTAATGATACGCCGTGCAAGCGCATCGACAATACGCTTGTCCGCGACAATCCGGGGAATGTTCCGCGGAGTGACAAAATTTGCATTTGACGACGCTCGAATCAGTGAAGAGCCGTTCGGAGCATCGATTGAAGTAATAGTGTCGCCACGTATCGTCGTGCACGTCGTCGCACAAACGTCGACGCAGCTGTCGTCGACACAACTGTAGAGAGAGTCGGGGCGAGTAAACGAAACTGCTCGATGTCGCCGTCGCCGAAGATCGCAATCGCCAGCTGGATCGAAACGACGGTATACGTTAACGATCCTTCGCGAAGAGGCGCCGATCGATTCCGCGATCGTGATCCCGCGCCTTGCGAATGAGATCGACGAATCTTCGAACGTCGTCGTCCGAGTCGCTCGTTCCCACGGCGCGTCCAAAACGCTCGAATTCTTGCTCGACAACGGTCTCGCGGCAATCGTTGGCCCAAGGCGGTACAGGATACGTCAGGTACACCATGTGGTCGGCCATGTGCGGACTGACGCTGTGGAAGCACAATACGCGTCGTACTAGTTCCAATCTTCCTTCCTCCACGCGCACTTCCTCGTTCGGATAAGCAACCTCGGCCGGCAGTATCCATCGAGGATACGACACGCCCGATACGGACAACGGACCGCGCGGTGCCATGACTCGAGAGAACTCGTCACCGCTGCAAGTTTCGGAACTAGACTGCATACTCGCAACATCGCTCCGCGCTCTTGTACCCTTCGTTATCTATATTTGTTCGTCGGTTATCACTCGATGACAAACATAGCGCGGGATATTTCGAGGAGTGTCGCTCAATTCCGACGGAAGAATCACAGGGACGAGGCGTCGCAACCCGAGTCGTCGTTATCTTCGAACAGTGCGGCGTCTGTTTCGTGAACGGCGAACTCCTCGTCGTTGACTACAGCGTTAGCCGCTGCACCGTCGAACGACGCGTTGATCGCGCGATGTTCGTCACGGCCCTCGGCCGGATCGACCACCTCCACGGAGTATCTTTCGCAAAATATCGGTATTATGGCGGCTAACCAGAACATGACGTCTTCCAGATGCGCCTTCACCGTGACGTAGTCGTCCTCGGTATCGTTAACGTCGGATTAGACTCGACGACGTCGACATCGAGCGTCGACCGTGAACACGTGGGTCAACACGAACAACAGTTCTCTCGTGACCTCGTATTCCGCTTTGGCGTCGGTCTCTGCAACGCCGCGACGTGTTCGGCCGGTCGTCGAAATCGACGATCTTTGCAACTTAACGTCCAAACTAGGCCAGGGCGTGCGTCGAAGCTCGTGATCCTTGTTGCAGTATTCTTCTACGGCGGGCAACGAATTCAATATTTACAATTTTACTTGGTAGGGAGTAGGCGGGGGTGAACCGAACTCCAGAGTCTTCTATAGGGAGCAAAGTTGAACGGAGTGAGACAACATGTCATACACCAGTTTCCGACCTACGCGCTTGAGGCAACAATATCGACATCGAGCTCGTCGTCGCGTCGCAATGACCGCGTTCAACGCGGCTTTTTTTTCTTTTTTTTTTTGATAACGTAGAGAAAATCCATCATGGATACTCCCGACCCGTTGGGGGCGGGGTCGGGGGTTATGTCAGACTTTTACTAACTAAAACCCCTGCGGGATATCTACCCATTCGGACCGTCGTGGGGGGAGTCAGGGGAACTGCTCCCGCATTCCCTAACCGACACCCCGGCCCCAGGGCTCTCCGGGAGCCCCACGCCATCGAGTACCGCATCCTCTCCCACTGAGGGAGTCCAGGGCGCGGTCCCCCGACCGGCTTCCCAGCCGGGTTGGCCTTCTGGTGTTTAACTAGGGGAAAGGGGACATCCACCCTTCCCCCCGCGCTCCCCATTATTCCACTCTAAGGAGGGGAGGGCAGGGGAGTGGAACCAAGCCCCACCTGGGCTTCTACTCCCCCCTCTACCCTACCCTAACCGATGCGGGTGGGTGTCAAGCGCACTCGTCATCCCCCTCCCTCCACGCGTCCGGAGTCGGGTCCGAAGCGACCAGGGAGGCGGCCTCCGTCGAACCGGTGGCCTGTCCTCCTTCTCGGCCGGCGCCTCCTAGGGCCCGCTGCCCAAACTTCGGGAGCGCCGCCCTCCCCGCCGCTGCCTGCGGCGGTCTCCGGGGCGACGCTCCCACTCAGCAGCCTCCTTCCGCGACAGTACACTGCGGCAGAAGGAGGCCGCTTCTCCCCATACCTCCTCGCTCCCGCACATGGTCCTTGCCATGCGCGGGAGCGACAATTCATCATTCCCGCACCCCACTGCCTGGGCCAGGACACCACGCTGGGCATTCGGCCAGGGTGTGACGGTGTCATCCGGCTCCGGGCAGTGGTGGCACCCGGTGGTGGGCTCCTTCTTGATCCAGTGCAGGTAATGATCAAAACAGCCGTGTCCGGTCATCACCTGCACCAGATGAAATGTGAGTCCGCGCCCCCTCCTGCCTGTGAATTCTTCCAAGCAGGGGCTGACAGCCCCTGTTGTCAGCTGCCCGAACTTCCGCGAGGCGGACATCGCGTCCGCCCACCGCTCCGAAGTTCGGGCAGCCACCCGGGACTTCAGGGCCATCAGTACCTTGGCCGTTAGTACCCCCTCTTCGCGGAGCTCCTTGACTCTCCAGTAGAAGACACTACGTTCCTCCGCAAGGAGCTCCACGAAGGGGAGCCGACCAGGGTCGTCGCCGCCATATATGAAACGGAGGCGAACCCCCGAATCGCTCTCACACCCACCGCCCTCAGCGCCTGACGCATGAGGTTTTTGCCTTGGGCGGTGGCCAATAGTTGGGGCGCCCATATCAGCGCCCCATAGAGGACGATCGAGAGAATCACCCCAACATATAGGCAGCGCGCGTGCCAACCCAGATCCCTTGGGTCTACATCAGTCTGGCCAGAGCCAGACCTGCCTTCCTGACCCGGGGGGCCAGGTCCCTAAAATGGGCCCTGAAGTCCCATCGGCCGTTCAACGTCAGGTCCAGATACTTTATCGTGGACCCGACGCGGACACGGACTCCGTCCACCAAGACCTGGGTCTCCGGCGGCGCCCCACGGCTGCCGTCGTGAAAATAGATGGCCCTCGTTTTTTGGAGCGCCACCTTTAGACCCAGGTCACTTATTGTGCCCACCACCGTCGCCAATGCCACCTCCGCATTGTGGTGGGCCTCCCCCCAGTCTTCCCCACCGGCCAGCACTAAGATGTCATCCGCGTAACAGATGACATGGCAGCCGGGGGGAGGGGCGTTCGCAAGACCCTGTCGAACCCGATGTTCCATAGCAGGTGGCCCAAAATGGACTCCTGCGGGACACCGCATTCCATTAACCACCGGCCCTGGACCTCGTCCTGACCCGAATAGGCGAGGTCCCTGTCCTCGAAATGACAAAAGCTAAACACTTGTTAAATTATTCGAACTAAATGAAAAATTAATTAAGGTAAAGTAAGATATAGATACATATGAGTATACAGGCAATAGATAAAATAATTTAGAGGACCCAAACAATAAAAACATTTAACGGTTATAATAAAACCACAACTTACCGCTTTGTGCTCGTAAAGCATCACTGATAATTTAATTTGGAAATTCTCTTTTGTCTCTACATCGTAAAAACTGATCTCTACATAATTCATGACTATAGCACTCAAGAAAAATAAATTCAAGCGTAAATTTAATTTGTAAATGTCGTGTCGAAAGTTACGGAAATACCACCATTAGTACCTAAAAATGTTCGGGAAGCAAACACAACACTAACGCTATCTTTACACTACCTCGGAAAGAATAGCGTTGGTAGCGCGTAATTATGATATAGAACGCTACCACTGGTGACGTCATGGCAGCATTTGGTAGCGTTACCATGTAGCTCCGCGAACAGTCTGCAGCGCTAAATAGCGCTAATAGCGCCTTCCCGAACGTACCCATGGGGTATGTTCATGAAGCTCACTGTTACGCTACCAACGCAAAAGCTACCAAAAAGTGTTCACGGAGCCAATAGCGTGACAGCGATAGTAAGCTCTATGAACAGCAGTAGCAGTAGCGTAGCATTACTGTTGCTTGGCAACAGAAGTAAACAGTAAGTGACATATATTTGGTATAGAGATTAAAGTCTTTTGTTCGCTTCCGTGGCGGTTGGATGTGGTTCCTGTAACTACGCATATTTTTTGATCGTGGGTACATGTTGTCCCTGTTTCTTTTTTACTTTCGTAATCGTAGCTGGAGAATGACGTGTGGACGTACTTAATTTGTCCGGCGCCATATATTGAACTGAACTGAACTGAACTGGTATAGAGGTCAGGGTAATAAGAAAAATACTCTGTAAAGAGAGTGTAAAATGGAGCAAGCAGAGGAAAATAGGAAATATATTATGGTAACAGCTGTAGCATGCATAATGCGTAAGTTAATAATCACATCGTCATCCTCATCTGAAAGCGACGAAGAACTGGAAATTGTGCAAACATACAGGAGAAAACGTAAACATGTGTCCAGAGTAGAAATTTATGTAGAAGTTACAATACCAGCATTAACCGATTAGCAATTCAAAGCTCATTTTATGTATTACAATACAACTAGCACAATAAAAATTTCTTTCATTTCTTACATTGGTAAATATATACATTATTCGAATCATTCTTAACATATGTTAATAAATAATTAATGTGATTGGATTGATATTAATATAAAATGATTGATATATGTGATTTAGGATGTCTTGTGCGACCTTTGATTATAACCAAAATTGCGCGTGATTGGCTGTTACAGTATCAGGACCATAAACACTATTCACATTTTCAGCTGCCTGGCTTGCGTTTTCGCCTTTATCGAAGAAAAACTGTAAAATATAGCGTATTTTCTCTTTGCTAGTGTCCATCTTTGACGCGCGCTCAAACAAAACCGAGTCAACTAATCACAAAACTGTCAGAAAAGTTTTTTAGTACGAAATCTCATCTTTCTAACGCCATCTAGTGGAACCCGATCGGACTTATACAACGCGAGATACAGATAACTAAAGCCATCTATTGGAAAAATAATGGATTTCTTTTTACTACACCTGATATACTATCAATTATTGAGCCAAAATTACGAAGAGAGACAATTGGAGCACCGATGATTTGTCCTTGCAAACAATTTTTGTTGACATTATAGAGACTGGTCACTCCAGATTCACTAAGGTACATTACATTACATTAATATAATGCAGTTATTGTAATATCTTGAATGAAATAATCTTTAATATTTTCATTTCTTGTTCCGAATTGGAAAATCATATCTGCGGTTTCACGTGCTCATTAAAATCTTCCAGAGGATTCTCGCGGAGCGTGTTCTGGAAGCCGGTAACATCGAGTCACCGCTCGGGCAAATCGCCCATGCTTACAAGCGAATTATTTGCTCGATCTTTGTCTTGCCGGTGTCTCGGCGCGTTACACTGTATCATTGTCTCGGTGACAATAACACTCTGCCATCAAAGGAAACGTGTGAGAGTCTAGTGTCTCGTGACTAACGGCAAAACAATGTATTTACCGCCTAGATCTTTGTGTCAGCCAAACAACAATTTGTTCGAATCTGCCAATCGGCTCAAGCCGCATCAGATATATGAAATTATAAATATCACGGTCGATATCGTGGCGACAGAGTTCAGCTTTCAAATTCAATTCTCGAGGATCCGTTCTGCTACCGTAGAGCCACGAAAACGCGTCGCTCCGGCGCGTGATATCTTTCCGCCGTCTCTTTATTGACTTGCGAATTGTCCGCGCTCTGCAAGCCTTTGTACCGGGTCATAAACGAAATAAAATGCATCTGAACCTGGGAATCAAGCAAATCATTAACCAGAGAACCGATCGGTCCTCTCCTTTGGCTGACTCCCGTCAGCTCGGTCCGCACTCACTCTCGCGCCCAAGTTCTGGGTATTCTTGGCGTTCAAGGGTTAGCGACTATCACTCAACCCGCTACATTTCTGAATATTTAGATCCATTTGCGAAAGATTTAATGTTGGCAGAAGTACAACGCTTATTGTTACAAAACGTATTATAAATGTTTTAATTGCACTGGCACCTTTTATAACAAAATGCGAGACGAACAAGTTCATCAAACTTGGTTAGGTTTTGAGGTCACTAGTGGTTTTCTCAAAATCATTGGCGCCATTGATGGTACGCACATAAATATTCCAGAACTTAAGCACAATCCTGAAGCTTATATTAATAGGAAAGGTTATCATTCTGTCCAACTGCAGGTAATGTGTTTATTTGCGTAAATTTATTATAATACACACACACACAAAGTAATATATCTTAGCTAATTACGTGCAGTAACTGATGTAATAATGTATAAATAATATAACTGGTAATAATGTATAAATAATATAATAATATATTTGGTATGGGAATAAGTTTTAATCGTTTCCCCATAGATGGCATTAATAGTATCGCTTGCATCTTTTCTAACCTTTCGATACATGGATTTAAAAGGTGTATATGTAAGCTGTTAAATGCAGTAGAAGACTTTTGTTTGGAGTGCAAACAGCAAGTATTCATATCGCATCGAAAATGTCGGAATTTGTTCTAAAAAAGCAGCATTTGCGGGAAGTTCTTCTCCACTACTAACTTTTGAAGAAAAGTGCTGCGGAAACGTGCCATTTGCTTGTGGATGTTTACGGCAACCATGCTCCATCGGAGCCAACTTGCAGATACTGGTTCCAACGCTTCAAAAGTGGTGATTTCGATGTCAACGACAAAGAACGCGATGATGCCCCAAAAAAGTTCCAAAATGAGGAACTTGAAAAATTGCTTGATATTGATCCATGTCAGACACTTGAAGAATTGTCTGCAGCGTTGGATGTTGATCGATCCACCGTTGGAAAACGCCTACATGCGCTAGGAATGGTTCAGAAGGCAGGAAATTGGGTACCACACGAGTTGAAGGAAAGGGACATTGAAAGGCGCTTGGTCACGTGCGAAATGTTGCTTCAACGACAAGAAAGAAAGAGTTTTTTGCATCGAATCATCACTGGTGATGAAAAATGGATTCACTACGACAATCCTAAACGCAAACTAGCATGGGTGAAGCCAGGTGAACCAGGTCCATCAACGCCAAAGCGCAATATTCACGGGTCAAAGGTCATGCTCTGTATCTGGTGGGATATGCGGGGTGTAGTCTACTATGAGCTGCTGAAACCGTCCGAAATTATCAATTCCCAACGTTACCGACTTCAACTAATGCGTTTGAAACAAGCTATTCAAGAGAAACGGCCGGAATGGCGTGATAGACACGAGAAGCTGATTTTGCAGCACGACAACGCTAGGCCACATATTGGTCAACTCGTTCGGACATACCTAGAAGGGGTGAAATGGGAGAACTTATCCCACCCGCCGTATTCACCAGACATTGCCCCTTCAGACTATCATTTGTTCCGGTCGATGTAGTCGGCACTTATTGGAGAGCGCTTCACCTCATATGACAGCATACAAAAATCGGTCGATGACTGGATCGCCTCGAAAGAAATAGAATTCTTCACTCGAGGAATTCGTTTATTGCCCGAAAGATGGGCGAAGGTTGTCGCTTCAGATGGAAAATATTTTGAATAAAATCATTTAATATTTTTATATTCAAACTATGTTTTTTGTCTACATAAAAAACGATTAAAACTTATTCCCATACCCAATACTTTTATCAAATGATTATTATAAATTAATATGTCTGTTGTAATGTGTTTGCTTGAAGTGTTTTGAAATTTTATTGTATGTGTATTGGTTTGCATGTTTATTTTTTAAGTTGTATGTGATCACAAATCTCAATTCATTCATTGTTACGCTGGATATGTGAGATCAATGCACGATCAACGAGTTTTTCGTTTGTCAGAAATTCAGTTGTACCTGAGAGATGCATCAAAATTCCCAAACGATTGCCATTTAGTTGGAGATTCAGCCTACAAACTTCATGACAATTTATTAATACCATATAAAGACAACGGACATCTAACAGAACGTCAACGGAATTACAACTTCTGCCATGCATAAGCGAGAATAGCTACAGGAAAGAGGAATTGGGCTATTGAAAGGAAGATTTAGAAGTCTTCTGACTGTACTAGCTATGAAGACAGTGACTTTAATTCCAAAATATATTATCGCTTGCTGCGTGCTACATAATATCTGCTTAATGAGGTGTGATGAACTTGCAATCGAAATTAATGAGAACGAAGAAATAATCAATGAAGATGCTAATATTGAACAGCATCATGACGTTGCTAATGCTGGTAATGTAAAAAAAGATCTTATGTGTGAAAGACTTCCACTGAGATATATGTAAACTGCGACGCGATTTTCTTACGCCGTCTGCAAATTACCGTCGGCCTGCGCGTCACGGGCGCGGTCGTTCGCACGCACAAAAAAAACGGTGTTGGACGCCAGGTACGGAGAGCCGCACCGATCACCAATTCTAATCACCAAACTCGCTACCGCGACGCGGGAGTCCGACGGGACCGGTAGCTCGTATGAAATTTTAGAGTCGGTAGACGGGCGGGATTTGGTCGGAAATCGGGGAAACATGTAGGACAAGAAAAACAGCGTGGTGGGCAGCGGAACGTTAATTTATTCTGTCGGGAGCCAGCGCTCTCCGATAGCTCCGCAGGACGGTACACATT